CCCTTCAGGGCGAGAGTGTTGTCGCGCCGCCGCCATAGGTGGCGAAGGTTAGCAAAAGCACTTCGAGCTTTTGCTATACGGTTCGTGATCTCATCTTCGATCACAAGGGCGCTTATACAACTTCCCAGGAAGTTGAATTTCTGAACGACTTCTAGCTGATCCCCAACAAGGGTCAGCGCAGGAGGCGATCCCTGCCAATCTTGAAGGAACGCTTTGCATTTCGATGGTGCAAAGCAAAGGCTGAAGCGGCTGACAGCCAGTACTACTCTGTCCAGCGCGGCTTGGCACGTCTGGGAGATGTCACAGGTGAGGGCAATGTCGTCTGCATACTCTAAGTCAAGAAGTCATTTTCCTTGGAGTAGTTCCACACCTTCCAAGTCATGTCCTGCAAATGCAATCTCCATGACTTCGTCAATGGCGAAGTTGAAGAGGAATGGTAACAACGGGCATCTTTGTCTCACACCGCTGGAGATATTGAAGGGTGGCGACAGCTTGCCGTATGCCCTCACTGCCCGTGCTACGCGCGTATAATGCTCGGATAATATTTACATATTTCTCAGGCACCTTTTCTGAGTAAACAATTCCAAAGGGCACATCGATCAACCGAATCAAAGGCACCTTTGATGTCGAGGAACACGACAACAGTGGGCCGCCAATATGTGTGACGGTGTTCCGACAACTGACGCAAGGTGAAGATGTGGTCGATGCAGCCACGACCCCGACGAAGTCCGGCTTGCTCCTCACGAATCTGGCTTTCACGAGTGCCAGTCTATGAAGGATTATGGAGGCGAGTAATTTGGAGGCAATGGGGATCAGACTGATTCCCCTATGGTTGCCGCATTCCGAGCGCGAGCCTCCTTTGAAGATGGGAACAATAACGGAGCGGCTTCAGTCGGTTGGGACAATCTGCTCCCACATTTTCACTAGTAACTCGTTTAAATCATCCACAAGAACAGCGCGTCCAAATTTGAAGAGAGCTGGATGAAGCTCATCTAGTCCCGCGGCTTTGTTCAACTTCAACAGTCCGATCTCACGTTCGACTTCTGAGCGAGAGGATGGATACAAAGGGACAGTCCACGGAGCAGGGCGATCACTGGCCGGCGAAGAATCGAACCATTCTGACCGATTAAATTGCTTTTCAAAATGCTCAGCCCAATGCTCTAAACGTTTTGACAAATTGTGAATAGACTGTCCATTCTCGTCACGTATAGTTTCACCAACACCAGGTCTCCTGCTACCCGTTTCCCGTATCAAACGGAGTAACTTACGATGGTTACCAAGGGCAGCGGTCACTTCCATCTCTGACGCACGAAGAGACCACCAAGATTTGCGGTCTCTCTTCAGGCTAGCACGGAGTCTTGCCCGGAGCTCTTTGCGAATTTCATTGTGTTCGCTTCCAGCCAGGATATGCCGGCGAGCATCGATAAGTTCCAGAGACAGCGAAGAGACCCAGTGTTCTTGTCGGATATTAGACTTACCACATGATGATTTGTCTGCTGCTATTAAGCTCTGGTGAACATGTGACCAGTGACCTTCAATTGTCTCCAGTGAGCGCTTACTCAACTGGCATATCAGCGTACTTTGATGGGCATTCAAAACAGCTGGCTTTGTCAGTTGGCTGGTAGTGCGCTCACAGCGCCGTCGTGGGCGTCCGCCAAAAAGCATCCGCATGTTAGCACACACAAGTGCACGATCGGTGTCCACAAATGTGTTCCAAATTGAGCGACAGTTCTGGATGCTTGCTTCTCCAGTGGTAACTGATTGCAATGCGATCGATTTGCGTCCAAGGTTGGTTCGAGGCTGGTGGGCTGTGTCGGAAGTTAGTGCTCGCAAGCAATAAGCGGGCATCTTCACACAAATGAAGTAACCGCTCCTCGTTATCATTACGGGAGCCTACACCGTGCTGACCGCCCAGATGCATTTCATCATTGGACAACTTCTCAACTTGTGCGTTCAGATCCCCGGCCAGCACAACAGTGTCCGTGCTTCTTCTGTGGCGAAGGAGCTGGGTCAGTTGGCGGTAGAAGTCGTTCTTTACCGAATCATCGCTACAATTTGTGGGCGCGTAGGCAGCGATGATGAATAAACACCTATTAGTCCCGCGCGACTTCGAAGCTTTGAACGAGCCAGCCAATCGGACCGCACACATCCGGGTACTGATTGGAATCCAATCAACCAGGGTAGCGTCAGCCCGGGGACTCAGGGAAATGCCAACACCAGTTTGGCCGGTGCTCGAAGCTGCATCGTCACCGGATAGGCGCAATGAGAAAATACTGCTTGCGTCACCTGAATTGGTTCGCAGAGTGAGCACAGAGCTCTTCTTGCAGGCGGGTCTCCGATAAGCAGCAGATATCGATCGAGAGGATCTCCAATGTTCGGGCAAGTGTTGCCTGTTGACCGATCTGTAGCAATGTGCGTACATTGAGGCATGCCAATCTGAAGGAGGATCGTTGGCTCCAAATGAAAGCCGATGAACTGGTATAGACCGCTTGGTTGGACATGGGCTTGTCGACAGGAGAGGAGTGACGCTCCGCGTAAGCATGTGAGTTGAAATTAGAAGATAACCGCCTAACAATGCATGTTGGGGGAGGGCCAAGAATTGGGAGATTGAAAAATGGGGGATAAAAGTGAAGTTGGAACGGGACGGTAAGAGTGAAAATGTGTAAGATGGGGAATAAGAAGACGGGAAGGCCTGAACAGTAGCATCCAAACCCCTGTCCACCCTGCTCGATGCAGTAGATAGGGCACCGTTGATTATTCTCTGCGGTGGCCAGAGCATCAGAAATTTGTTTGAAGAGAGATTCTTTGTATTGCTTAGGCAGGATACTGTCAAGTTGCCCAGGCCTAGACAGGAGAACGATTAGGGTTCTCAACCAAAGCCTTCGGTTCAAAAACCAGACCGCAAAGCAGCGGGTTTTGCGTTGGGCCACAAGGAGTCCGTTTTAAGGAATAAGGTGCCACCCTCATTCCAACCCCCAACTTGGAGGACCAGGAGGTTGAGTTTGTCTGGCCTCTAACCATTGACCAATCTGGTATGAGTGACTCTGAAGGTGTAAATAATGCACCACCCAGCATAGCTCAATGGATCGCTGATGCACACAAACCATCGCACCACGGTAAGGTCCAGCCCCATTGACGTGTACCGCACTTACTGAGCTCGACAGTTTGTTTTGTGGTGTTGAAGAGGTGCGTTCACTACTCACCAGTCTTGATGATACCAAACTTGCTGGCTGTGGCGATCTCCACTCCCTGATTCTCAAGTCTCTGTCAACCATCATCTCACTTGCCACGACTGACTTATTCAACAGGTCACTGCTCGAAGTTTCATTGCCGAGTTTCATTGCTGAAAATATTCTGTGGTAAAGCCGATTACGTAAGTCAGTAACTCCAGAAAAGTTGACAACTGCAGTCCACTTTGTCTGGCACCTATTTCGTCCAAAGTTGCTGAAAAGATCGTGACCAAGAGTCTACCACAACTGCTCCATTCACAAGATCTACTGACGTGCCACCGCTTGTTTTACTTTTCTTGTCTTTTGTACTGCGGCACAATAGCTGAGGTGTTTTCCACCTCCAGCTAACGTGTAATGATGATGATGGTACAGCACGGTTTCATGCCAGGCCGCTCATACATTACGAATCTGCTGGTAAAGAAGCATGAATAATTGCAGTCAGTGAACCAGGGTGTGTCATTCTACGTAATCTATATCGACTTCAGCAAAAAGTTCAACAAGCTAGATGATCTGGTCCGCCTCCACAAGCTGAGAGTGTGCGGTGTTGGAGGATCACTGCGCCAGTGGACCTAGGATTTTAGCGTTGAACGATAGTAGAGGCTACTAGTAGACGGCCATCTAACTGACTAGTGACGTACCCTAAGACGCAGTTCTAGAGCCTATTCGCTTCCTAGTCCACATCAGCAATCTACCTCAGCTTCTTTGGTTGCCATGAGCTCCGTTTTCGGACAACCTGAAGCTTTGTAGAATGAATAGCACCGCCTACGACAGGCCTACTTCCTCAAAACTTCAATCGCCTCTCCATGAGGTCTTCAGTAGTTCGGTTTCGGGCCAAGTCAGTATTCATGAGCCTGGGGCAGGATCTTGATGGCGGACCTCACACCCCCGACGGCCAACAGCTACATCCCACATCTTCCGTGAAGGACCTAGGTGTACTCTCACACTGTGATTTTAAATTCGTGGACAACACGAACAGGCTACACCGAAACGGACTGCGCATTCTCTTGCACTCAAACGCAACCTATACATCTTGTCTGAAAAAGCCGCCTCACCCGCCTACTGCACAATCACCTGAGGCGTGAAGCAGATGATCGAACGGGTCCAACACGTCGTTACCAGGCCCATCTCCGGTTTACGGGGCGTACAGTATGAAAGCAGGTGCGATAGGCCGGATTATTGTCGGCTGCGGGTCGATCTCGTCATGACCTAGCGCACATTACATCTTGGTGACTTCTCAATGTTGTGGCCGCTGCTTCACCTGCGAACGCCATGCAGCACACGCGGACACCAGTATGGGTTTGTAGTGCCGGATACAAAGCGATTTCTCCACTCCCTGTGGTTCGAAAGGAAAGTGGTAAATGTTTGAAACACTGCCAGAACCTGTCTTGAATACCAAATCTGTAAAACCGTTCAAACTGCTGCACTTACAGTTCAGCACCATACGATTCAGAGAATGATTTGACACTATCAATAACCTCTTAATTAGTGAGCCTAGGGAAACTGTAAGTCAGATAGTTTTAATACTACATGAGTAATTGAAGCATGATTAGAGTTGTAGATTTAGATTTCTCTTTGTTCCAACAATACAGTATTCAGTTAGTTCACTCCTGTCGGCTACTGTCTACCATGAGCTATGTTGCTTTCACCTTGTCACCGTTGATGCACCAAAACAAACAACTGATGTGATCATTCGTTTTTTTATTTTGCGACATTTCCCTTCATGCACATCTCTGTTGCTAACCGCATCTGCCGCTGCAACTTTTATTTTAGAACACAACCCAATCCCATCTTTCATAATCCCGACGAAGACATGAAGAAAGACGAAACACCTGTTTGGAAAAAGCAGAAATTAGCTTGATATTATTTGAATGTACAGCGCTCCGGGTGCCGCATATCTCTCTGTACATATGTTTTCAAAATTTCCTTCATTACATCTTATAGCTGACCGTTTGAGTTATACGGGTTGGGTCTGAATCTGGCGTCGCCATTTTTCTTCAATGCCGCCGTTTTCTGGTTCGAATACAAAAATAAGAATTTGCTTTTCTGCATCATAGTCACAAAATCTGTTTTGTGCCAACGCGGTTACTTTCTGCTGGTGCATCTTTCGTCACCACTCGTTCTTCCGTAACGGATCATCGACGATGACCGATTGCGTTTAGGAACTGGAAACGCTCGTGCGATGATGTTGGACGTTTTCATTCCGGCTCTGAAACAGATGTACATGTTAGAGTTAAATTAAATGACGTGTGAATTACATCAGACTATCTTTCTTAGTTGCTTAAACATAACTGTAATTTTTGAAGGTAAACAATTTGAGAAGAGTGCGCTTTTCAGCAATTCACTTCAGGCAAATTCGATGTAGTGCAAGCATGACGTGCATCAAAGGATGGGATTGCGACTGTTGTTGTCCATACAGTCGATCGATACTTCACTGGACCTAGACAGGTAGCAGACCGCATGAAAGGGCGCGAGCACACGCACAAGACGGGCTCGTTGGCCGATGGGTTGACTAGTTACCCTCGGCTGCGGTCACTGTACGATGTGAATCGACTCTGGTTACGACCAGGATAAGATGAAATCTTGTGTAAGTGTTCTTTGCTTGCATAACTCCTGTCACAGTATATTTTCAAAGCTTTGTCCTAGCTAGACTTAGCCAGGTAGTCATTACACATCCAGAAAAGCGCTGAACAGTAGTTTCGTCCTATTAGGACTCGTCAGTAGCGCGTAGCCGTCGGATTCGAACCCATGACCTTACTCTTACTAATCAGCCACGGATGACGACGACACACCGCTATAACTGATAGTTAAATACAATATAATACGGCTGATCTTCCACTGTCATGCATGTTAGGAATCTGGAGAGGACAGAGCTACGATTTCCTTTACAATCCGCCGTCAATCGAGGTGGTATTCAAGCTAGTTACATCTGCCCACTGGAGCGTTTGCAATTTGGCTCATATCTGGCGGGAGTACCGTGTGAGTAGTGAGCATGTTCGACACCTTGTTTATGGCACAAAAAGAAGAAGTGAACCGCTCAGCACTGTTATTTCACGCACTGGGCTCTTTGCTGCACATACCAGCACACCGGCTCCCGCGACGTGCATTGTTTGCTCGCCGGGTTTGTGGATGGAAGAAGAGGAGGGGTGACCAAGCGATGACTTGGTCAAGAGGAATGAAGGCCGTCGCTCCAAAATTGGCCTCGGTTGGAGTTTCTCGGCTCCCTGATTGGGGTCCGAAAGACGATAAACCCCTTCGACTGGAGACACCTGTTGACATGGCTAGGAGCCGACCTTAATGACGTTCGTGTTGTAAGTTACTTTGTCCCTCCCGTTTAGCCTACCCCTCCAACCACGATCTCATTTATTAGGCGTAATATAATCTTTTTTCGGCACAGTAGCCGGCTATTAGCTCTCTGGAACGAAGTCCATCCGTTACTGGTGGCTCAACTGACATGTCTCTGTTGCATGTTTTTCTTTTCCGACATATTGTATCAGAGTAGTTTAGGTGTTTTCCACTTCTAGCTAACGTGTACAGTGATGTCTAATGATGTGCTTGTGAAATGACAGTTTCAAATTGTCATGCGTATTCATGTTGCTACTTTCTAAATGATTTCTGCTCTTTTCCCCGCGATAGTTGCAAAAACATGGGCCCAAAAATCCACTTAGACGTTTGAAGATTACCATTCCATAAATATGGCTTCATGTTTTACGAATCCGCAGTGTGATTTATCAGCTCAACTTAAGCGGATAGATGCACTGTTTCCTTAGAAGTGTTTAGCTCGGTAGCAAAATGGGTCCCAGTAACTTCGTGTAATTTACGATTATTGCCACTTTTACCTGTCCGTCCTCCTCTATCGAACTTGCACCTTGACTATTGTAACGACCACTAAAACCGCTGGCCCTGGTTTGGTCCATGTTCAAATAGCTTCTGTTCTCTCTGCTATCTGGCAGTGTGTGTCGTTCATCCGTGCTCTCGGCGATTTCTCGTAGGAAGTTTGACGGGACCAGCCCCCTTCTTCCATCTTCAGTCTCACCGTAATAGAATCCGTCCTCGTCCATCCCACCGTAGACATTGATCATATCACCGGTGCGAAACGATAGTTCCATCTGGTGGGCGGAGCAAAAGGAAATACACCTGATCAGGTTGGATCTAAATTAAGTAAAAATTACGCGCACGACTTCAAGGCATGCGTTGTGTACCCTATCTAAACAAAGGGAATTCAGTGCCCCCTCTCTCTTGATCCACACTTCTGGTTCTTTACTGTTTTTTGGATGTCCATGGCCGCAACGTGAATTTAAAAGCGATAAATATGAGTTGTTTTGCCCATTGATTTTGCTGACCAAAGTGCGTATATTGTTGCATAGCAGATGCGGCGTGACTAAATGTTCTGTTAAAAAAATCAGTGAACCTTCGCGCGAATTAATGACACATTTTATAGTTTCCGCGCGGTATTCATTAACCGGTCGCACGAACGACGATACTGCAGATCAGGCGTTTCAGTGATTTGTTACCCGGATTTATGATGTGAAAGAATGATACTGTGTGCTCCTGCATCGATGAATCGGGATAAACTCACCTCATCAGCATCTGCGTTCGGACTGAGGACGCTTGGATCATAATCGTAAACAGCAAGCATGGGTCGCTTTTCTAAGTTCATGTGTTGCCTCCATCCAATTCCCTGTTGTTTTGCCGAATCGTTAGGGCGGGAACGACTGGATGATGGCCGTTGTGCGGATTCATGCCGTGCCGTAGGCACTGAACCAAATTGCAACCTTGACTGACCATTCACTGTCGCCCTGTGGCCCACCAGAGGTTGGTCGGCTGATCGCCTTATACGCGCTCGGCATGGCGGTCCGCATTCTGTGGCGTCGGTGAACAGCGCTGAATGTGTTTGTTGATTTGTTTCCTGAAATAACAGAATGGTAGGTGTTGCAGTATTGATTATATTTTTTGTCATAAAGGCACAAATCTTATTGTTCTTTCCTTGCTAACATGACATCAAGTAAGCTGTACCCTAAGAGCCAAACAGTTTGCTTATTCTGGCGGGACCGAGTATCGTCTTTTCTGGTGACTACTTTGACTGCATAACATCACTCCGTCTTTCTACCATCTCATCTTCACGATGCAGGCTGACGGTTATTCTATCGAGCGTATCTTCTATTGAGTCTCTTCAGTATAATAGTCAATCGGTGATTCACACTGCCAAAAACTGAGTATTAGACCGTCTCTGTATCTAAATTCTTGGGGAAAATTAAGTGCGCTCCCGGGAACAGGAGCGAAGGAAAACCGGCGTCAGTAGGAAATGACTTTCGCGATATGGCAGGGTATTCGATCAACCCGCAGTGTTGCCCCCCCACCGGGGCAGCTGCCAGTACAGAAGCCCAACCGTTCTCTGAACCACGAAGATCTCATTCGTTTAACGGAAGTCGGTTAAATATTAGATCCTCTGGCATTACCTGAGAAACAGATTGTTTAACGACAACTAGCCTGACTGACTGTCTTATATCAAAATTTTAGATTTATTTGTGCAGACGCGGATCATATTACCATGTATTCGACTGGGTCATCTGGTAGTGCAGGGATTCGGTGACGTCTTGGGTTCATTGACTCAGTGCTTCTTGGTTTACTACGCTGACCGGGAGGTATTGTGCCGGTTTCCAGTCTGTTCCCAATATTGCCCGCACTTTTATCCGCCAATGCTTTGTTAACTGCTCGACGAGATGCTTCGTTTTCCGGTTTGGAAACCATGTTGGAAGGTACTAATCCACGTAGGCCGTTGCATTCACCAAGGTAGAATCCATCGGGATCACACTCACCAAAGATCTGAAAAGAAAACGGAGATAATGCATGTGTTTAATTCAAGTCCCGCAGTCTTTGCGCATACAACGACCAAAGAAGAATGGGGCTGCTGAACTGTCCGTCACTTGTTTTAGAATATCTGTGGTATTTTCCACATGTGGTCAACTTGTAGTACGATGGATGCTGATGAATATCGGCTGGTTATGGATTAAAACCTTGTACAGCGGGGGGGGCAGAGTAGACTTGCTCTGCGCCATTATTATTTTCACAGGGTTTGCCAACCATGAAGCTTAGTTCATCTTGGTCAATATGCAGGTGTTGAAGCTCGTTTGATCCAGTTGGCCTAACTCGCATCACTAGGTTAAGTAGTAGTAGTGGTAGTAGTATAGTCAGCAGTCTATCAAATAGACATAGAGCCAAACATAATCATAGAGATTACTAAAAGGAGGCAGGTTGAGCACCGTATCAGGATCACGACACATTAACTGAAGTGAGTAACAATCTTCAGCTATTCTGCCGCAATCTACAAAACAATGGAGCATTTTTTTACTTTGCACAGGCCATTTTTGTTTTTAAGCGTTAAGCATTAAGTATCCAAATCTAAGCAGTTATATACACACATCCTCCACTTGTTTCTATTATGTGCCATATCCTGAATTGTTTCCCGCCATCGGCACTCCTCGTTCTTTGGTCCCCAACCAGCCCGACGTATGGATCCAATGGTGGCAAGACGTGAAGTCAACGACTTCATTTGCTGTCGTTAGGTGGATGGTGGGCGACCGCGTGGTCTCTTCCAGTTGAGTCCTGCACGAGCGAACAGAGCGCGATAGGGCAAACGCTCAGCTGACATAAGCAGAACATGACAGAACCATCATAACTGGCGTAGCAAAACCAGTTTGTTGAAGGTAATACTCGCATTCCCTAAGACATGACGTCTGACTTTACTGTTGCAAATGTGTTGTTGCCACCACACACGAACAATCCTCCTCAAGCACCCGTTGTCGAAGGCCAAGAGCTGGCGCATGTCGTCTACGCGAACTGTCCATGACTCTTCCATATAGCAACTCCGCCCGAGCGGTGGCATTGTAAACACGACCCTTTACCAAGTGGGATATACCGGCGACGCCACAAGTGCTGCAGGCTGACAAATGCCGACCGAGCTTTGGCGATGCGAAGAGAAACTTCCTTTATAATGGTACCACCAGCAGACACACAGATGCCAAGGTAGATAAAGCTATCCACTTGTTCAAGCTGTGTACCTGCAATATTGAGCCATGGAACAGTTGAGTGCCAATCCTGAAGCAGCACTTTACACTTTGACGGGGCAAAACACATTCCCTACCTAGATGCCTCAATCGCCAAGCTGTCTAGAATGGTTTGCATGCTCTGTGTGTACTCAACTGGTGAGGCGATATCATCGGCATTATCTAACTCGGTTGCTCGCTTGCCCGGTAATACCGAGATTTTGGTAACCCTCTAGAGCTCTCGACAGGATGTCTTCAATTGCAAAATTGAAGAGGAAAGGGGATATAGGGCAGTTTTGTTGTACACCGCTATTGACAGCGAACGACGATGATAGCCTGCCATACACACAATGTCAAAGATATGGAAATACAGCGTGCGTAGGATGACAGTGTACTTTTCTGGGACACCGTTCCTTAGCAAACAACGCCACAGTGCAGATCGATCATCCGAGTCGAATGCGGCACGGATGTCCAGGAATGCAACGATGGTAGGCCTCTAATAAAGGTGGCGGTGTTCTAGGATTTGACGGAGTGTGAATATCTGATGCGCACACGCACGGCCAGGTCGGATGCCAACTTGTTCTTCCCGATATTGCGATTCGCGAATGGGAGATAGTCTACAGAGTAGAATGGATGCCAATAGCTTGGACGCAACCGAAATGAGACTAATCCCCCCGTGAGTGGTACACAAAGTGCGAGCACCCTTCTTAAAAACCGGGACAATGACTGACTCACCCCAGGAAGAAGGCACCGTTTCTTCACGCCAGATTTTGGAGAACAATGAGGTTAGCTGGCTAATGACAACTGAGCCTCCATATTTGAACAGCTCCGGAGGAAGTCCGTCTGAGCCGGCAGCCTTGAATCGTCTTAGGTGTCGAATCACAAGACAAACTTCCGCTTCGCTGGGTGGATCAGGTGTGACGACCCAGGGCAGGCAGCTGGGTTTGCAGGGGATCTAAGTGGACGGTGAGGGCCAAGTGAACTGGGAAAGAAAATGCCCGGCTCAGCTGCCCAAGCGTCCCTGTAAGTTGGAAATCAGCAAACCATCCGCTTCGCATATAGTCTCACTGACACCAGGCTTTCTGGGGCCAGTGGCCCGAATGAGCTGGAAAAGCTTGCGAATATCGCCAGAGAGGGCAGCGGCCTCCATTTCCGAAGCACGCTGGGACCACCAGGCTTCACGGTCACCGTGTAGGCTTTGTTTGAGCTGCCGACTGACAGAACGGCGCACTTCATCATGATTATACTCCGCTGGGATATTCCTGCAGTGGTCAAAGAAATCCAAAGCGCGAGTGGAGATCCAGGCTTTCATAGGGTTCTGAGTAAAACCAGACTTGTTGTCCGGAAAAGATCGTTATCCTCTTGCATGCACGTCCAGTGTTCATCAATATCTTGCGCTGGGTCGCAGCCGAGTGCACCAGCCAGGGAAGCTTGATAACTCTGCTGAACCGAAACAGTACATAGTTTATTTGTGTCTGTCTTACGGCGTTTCATTTTCGGGAACCCTCCGGAACTAATGCCGATGTTCGCACAGAGAAGGGCATGGTCTGAGTTAAGAAAAGTGCACCAGGTGGATCTACAATCTTTTACACTACCCCTCCATCTGAAACTGATTGCGATATGATCAATCAAAGACTATGCTTGAGACGTAGAAGGGAGTCGCCAAGTAGCGGAACGTCTCCTCGAATGCCGAAACTTGGTGCTCGAGAGAAAAAGATGATTATCGTCGCACAGTGTGAGAAGTCTCTCTCCATTGTCTGAGCGGCTCTTATGCAGCTCATGGTGACCACTGAGGTGACTTTCGCATGCCAGCAGACGACCGACCCGTGCGTTGAGTTCCCCAGCAAGCACAACAATGTCGGATTTGCAGATTCTCCCCAAGAGCTAATGAAGTTCGCGGTAGAAATCGTCCTTGACATAGTCGGAACTGCAGTCATTTGGAGCGTAAGCTGAGATCACAAACAAGTTGCGTCTGTTCTCGCGGCATCAGTTTATCTTGTATGATGCCCGAAGCCGAACTGCACACAGTCGGATGTTACTTTGGAATCAGTCCAGCAGTGCTGCCTCAGCTTTGCCACTTAGCGCTACACTAACGCCAGCCAAGCCTGCTGCAGCTGCTTCTGTGTCACCAAATAGACGTAGGCGAAATATGACTCCGTGGTTTGTGGGAGATCTCAACTGTATCACAGTACTGGGATACTGTAAACGCGTTTCGGAAAGACAGCAAACATCGATGGCGAGGGATTCCAGAGTGCGCGCAAGACCACCATGCTGCCCTATCTGCATGAGCGTACGTACATTGAAGCATGACAGACGGAACGAAGAACGAGGCCGAAGGAGTGCGACTGGGTGTCGACGAAACCATCCGGAGTAGAATTCATGGAAACGAATCATTTGGTAACGGATACCATTGATTGGTACCAAATGAACAGGTAGCGTGTGAAGGTGAGTGACTAGCAGGAGCAAAAGCAGCTGAGAGCGATATTGCAGTTGAACAGCCCATGGTTTTGTCAGTGGGCGTGATGCTACCTGGTTGCTCAAGCCGAAGTAGGACGTTATCTTAGGGGACTCCACCCCGAGCCTTTGGCTAAATAGCCTGCCCGCAAGGCAGCGGGGCGATTGTGAGACGGAGTTAGGCTGACCCCAAACCATTAACCTGTTTGGTATGAGTGGCTCTGAAGGCACTTGAAAATTCCACCCAGCGTAGCTCAATGGGTCAAAGGCGTAGACGAACCATCGCACCACCTTAAGGTCCAGTCTTGTTGCAACGGATCTTCAGGATGAAATTTAGTGACAATATTGAGAAAATTGAGGTAGGCCGCAAGGAGAGGAGTGTATTGTGAACAGATAGATGCGACACACTCCGTGATTGTATCGGCAATGATTTAGGCAATCTCGAGACCCCCATCCAGAAAGATGCTACCATTCAGTCTAGTCTAGCATTTGATCAATCTCTTCCCACCGTAATGTCATGTTGCTGACCGGCCATCTTACTGTTTCACTCAACTAGCCACAGTGACGGATTATAATTCGCCCCAAGAAAGATAGTAAATAGAGATCCGCAAGGTCTGACCTTATCAGGCTACGTGGTTCAATTCCCTTGTGATCGACGCGTCAACCACTACGTCCAGTGTTCCAGTCTCGTCTCCGGTTATCTTTGCCCGGAGAGACAAAAGGAGGATTAACCCGGTTGTGGAGTGCCTTGATGGAGCGAGCAACATCGAAATTCTCCATAAACTGTCCGCATGTGATATACATCTCAGCATAACACTAGAAAGTTCAATTCCAGTAACTGACCGGCGGACTTCAGTATCGCTCAGCCGGTGCTCCGATCTACTCTCCGCAAGCGCCGGTGGTCAAGGTTGTATCTCGAGGTCCTATTCCACAAGTTGATGATGTGTGGTGTTGGTGGCGCACTTCACCAGTGGATCAGTGACTTCCTCAGTGGGAGAATATGACGGGTACGAGTGGATGACTATCTGACGGACTGGTACCCCTCCACCAGCGATGTACCCCAAGTCACAGTGCTGGGGCCCATTTTATTCTTAATACACGTAAACGAAGTGCTTTAGCTTCCTCGGTCGCATTGTGCACTGTTTGCAGACGACTTGAAGATTTGGAGGGTTATTGATTCTCCCGGCGGCTGTAACATTCTTCAGCAGGAACTCGACCGCTTATGCCGGTGGTCTGCAGAAGTTGACCTACCGGTCAACCCGGCCAAGTCCTCGTTTATGAGACTGGGAAGGAGTGGTAATTGGCTTGCGTACACCCTGCTCGGCC